ACAATAAGTAGATAAATAAAAACATATATTTCCATATTTTCAATAAATATTATTAGTAATACAAAATATTACTAAAAACAGACCCGCGCGTAGCGCGGGTTCAGAACCTAGTTTATACTATATAAAAGTCGAAGCTATAAGCTCCTTAGGACGTCCACGTGGGATTTTAAACGACCAATCGCGGTTAGCCATATCATTAATTAACGTTTTTGAAATTCTTATTATTTTCTATTTTTTTTAGATTTTTGTAAAATGGAAAAAGACAAGATAGAATATGGAAAAATCTCTAAATATAAACTTTTGTTACCAAAATACATAATATAGAAATAAATCAAAATATAAAGTTTATTTTTATTTTTATAAACTTATAAAATTTAATATACGAAATATTTAAAAATATGTAAACAATTCTAAATAATATTTTTGTTATCAAAATACATAAAAATAAAAATAAGAAAAAATATAAAGTTTTAAGTTTTAAAATGGAAAAAAAGATATATGGAAATAAGAGAATATGAAAAATCTCTAAATATAAACTTTTGTTACCAAAATACATAATATAGATATCAATCAAAATATAAAGTATATTTTTCTTTTTATAAGCTTATAAAATTTAATATACGAAATATTTGAAAATATGTAAATAAAATTGTAAACTTTTGAAAAACAATATATGGAAACAAAGAAAATATAAAATTTAATTATAATAATAATAATAATAATAATAATAATAATAATAATATTAGTCAGCACACTTCCCCCCCCTTCAAAGAAGCTTACCTGAGTTTAGTCTCGGGGGACTAATCCTCGTTACAACCTGTTTACACAAAAATACACTCCCTCTAAACCAAAATCACGTCAGTTTCTCTCAGAAGCGAGAAAGCGAGCAGCAAGCTGAAAAAAGGGGGTTCTCGCCCAGCCGCTTCTTTTGATTTGATTATTATTTGAAATCCTAGACTAAAGAAGAAGCTCCTGAATCCGCGCAGGGCAAAATCTGCAGCAGGAGAAGAAAGAGGTTGGTCGGATTCTTGCCACCAGTTAATCTACTATCTGAGCTTGACTCTTTGAAAGCCTTGAACTGTGAATCTTGTAGAGTAGAAGACTTATAGATTCAAATTCTCCAACATATAGATGTCCTTACAGAATGAAGATCTGGGCGAAGTCCGTTGGAATTAGCCTTGATAAAAGGTAGCTTTTTATTTGACCCTTTCCCTTTTTTTTTGAGAGCAAGCGCCTAAAGGAAGGAAAATAAGACAAAAAAAAAGAGGACGAAGCAAAGGCTCACTACGTTAGGTTCGAATTAGTTTAGAAAAAAAAAAAGATAATTGCAAAATAATGTAGTTAACTGAAATTAGAAAGAGTACATGTAAACATGAAAATTAAACTCACGTAGACACGTTTACATCTCTTTAATTAAAAGAATATTTTTAAAAACCAAAAAAGAAGAAGCAAATAAGTTAATATTAATTAGCATTAATTAATAGTTTTAGTTTGTAAAATATATTATTAAACAATAGAGGAAAATTTCCAAAAGTCGGAGAAAGTTAAAATTTAAACGAATAGGAAAAGATTAATAACGTAAAGGAAAACTTCTTCTTAAAAACCAAGGAAAATAAGAAAGTTTCTAAATTCTAAAGTAGTGGTTTATGTATAAATAACCATCTTATGGATCATTGATATTTGAAAGACCAAATATTTTATTTTTGAAAATTCAAACAGGGCTTATTAAGTTACTATGACACATATATATAGCTTCTATGCTTGCGAAATTAATCCAAAAAACTTGTGTAGACATTGCCATTTGGAGAATCTTTCAACCAGATTGGTTTGGTGTAAAAGGCATGACCGGTTCTCTGCATGCTTGTGTTGCTTAGCTTCAAGATACCATTGGATGTGACTGTGGCAATCCCTTGGATGGATATGTTAGTCAGTGGAGGATGGAAGCTATTGTAAGTGAATTCAAGGATTTGGGAAGAGGAATTATGGGATTGGGAAAGGAAGCTGAAGAACACGATAATGAGGAACTTGACGAACATGGCTCTGTGGTTTTTTTTTTTTTTTGGGCGTTGGTTTTTGATATTTAATTTATAAGAAGGGAACTCAACTAAATTTATGGTGTGGAAAAGTCTTAATTTGTTAACGTCAACGTAAAAGTCGTCAGTCATCAATTGTCATCATGGGTTTAGCCCGATTTAGAATCCATCCATGGTCGATGGGAGATGTCTCGGCCGGTGATAAAAATTAAATGAAAAATCAAATTAAAAAAAAGTATACAATCAAGAGGTATGTGATATGTGTAAGTCTATTTGATATATTTTGGTGAAAATTATATCATAACAGAAAAATAACACCTTATCACTTTTTGTCTCCTAAACAAAATATATTTGTTTGAAAACATATCAAAAATATTTTATTGTATAAGATAACTAGATCATGACCCGCACATACGTGCGGGTTTCATATTTTAAAATTTTTTTAACAAATTTTAATTAAATATAGATTATTTTATTGTTTTTAACTTTTTATGATATATATTTTAGTGTATTAGATCTGGATCCACATACGTGTAGAGATATTTTTATAGAAATTTTTATAGAGATTCAAAAATATAAAATATTTGTTGTGTTAGTGAACTTCGTAATAGTATAAATATTATAAGTTAGAGTAATGAACAAAATTCAGTTGCGTTAATGCATAATTATATTTTAAGATCCGGACTAATTTAGTTGCAAAAGTTAAGTGGTGTTACATTTTTATTTTCTTAACTAATCAAAACAATTCTAACAGTTTGATTACATATGTTAAATAGAATATGAATTTGGTTTTAGTTTGGGTTATTTCATGTATATTAGCTAGGCGTAACTATTTTGGAACATGAAAATATCCCGTCCGGTATCTGTCATAAATTCTTTGTCCCATAATCTGTCACGTATACGTAAAATAAAAATATTATAGTCCCATATCTGTCATAAATAGAGTATGTGTAATTGAAAATGTATGTACATGGTTACATGTGTAAACAAATTTATTTTATATAGTGCTCATAACCCGAACTCATGCCAGTTGGGTATTTAGTTTGATTTTTAATATATGTTCCCTTCCCATCTCGTCTCGTAATTTCTATTTCCATTTTATTCCATTAAAATCATATTCCAAATTCTTGTTTGCTTACTTTTAAATATCATATAATATTATAATATATATTGTGAGTTTTGCGGATTAATATGTATACCGTTAAAGTTACAAATATATTTAAACAAATTTATTAGTGTTTTTAGCTAAATTTTGCATATTTTTCTTTTCATTGTTTAATCATAATTAATTCGATTTTTGGGACTAAAATTAAAATTTGAGATACATCTATAAAAGGGATATACTATTGCTGCATAATTTGTTTTGAATGCAAAATATATAATTAGTTCACATTATTTCGAAAATTGTGTGCAATATATTATGGATTTGTTTAAGGAAGATCCGGTTGAAAAGAAAAAAAAAACACAAAATATTTCGAAATTAATATGTACAATCTTTTGTTTAGATATTTCCGAAACTTTCTCTAAACGAAGGCCATAACGATAATTACTTTAAATTTATCATTATTTGAGTTTATTTCATAGTAAATATAAATATTTGTTAATATCTAATATCGTTTTTTTTTAAATTGTGAAATAAAATTTTGTTTTATATCTCAAAATTTGTGAAAATATTATAACAAAACTGAGTCATAAATATTTGTATTTAATTTTTATATGAAATTTCAAATTCAATATTAAAATTCTCCATTGATAAAAAACTTTTTAAACGATAGTGTTTTTATATTTTGAATTAAAATGGTATTATTTTTCTTTTTATTTTTGATATAGAATAGTTTATTAGGATTGGTTTAGATAAAATTTTAGTTGGATATCAAATCTTATTTTTTTCAATTCTCATTGGTTAACAACTTTTTAGAATTTTTTTTTTAATTTTCGTCCATAATTAATATGAGAGAGAAAGTGAGTTTAATTTTTTGGAAACTAATAATTACTTTAAAGAATTTTACTATTTTTATTTAAATATATTATTTAAAAACAAAAAACAATGGCATTTTTGTAATACTTTACATTTTATAAGGTTATTTATGTTTGAGTGCTTCCCAATTAATAGTATAGATGTAATAAAAATAATGTAAAAAAGTTTTTTTTGGCAAAAATCCAAATAAAAGAAAGATAATATTTTAGTAATTATCATTAGTGGTATAAATTTCATCAAAATATATCAAATAAATGCAAACATAGAAGATATGTTAAAACGTGTACATATTTTACTAATAGATAAGAGAAACAAAAGTATACCCAAACGTGTACATATTTTGGTAGTTTAATTTCTAATATTTTGTCAAAATATTTTTATGATTGCTTTATTAATAGCAAACTTATTAATAATATAAAACAAGTCAGAAAATGACACATTGTATTTGTACAACATTCATACTAAATTGTATCTTATCTTATTAAAACAAATTTTTAAACAACATAAATGAAACTAAATATATAAATAAAAAACATTTATGCTAAAAAGAATCAAAAATAAAAAATAATAATAATTTTACATTACTAATGTTGATGTGTAGCTACTTAAATGATTACTAAACCTAAAAATATATTAATGATCGATAAATACAAACCCCCGCGTAGCGGGGGTTAATAACCTAGTTATCTAAATAGAAGCCAAATCATTGTGAGAGCGACACATCAGCGTGACAATCTTGTTAATAACACATGATGGTAAGATTTTTTTTTTTAAAATGTTTCTCTATTAATATATAGGGGATTTGTAACCTCTTATATATTTTTATTAATTTTTTTTTTTTTTTTTTTTTTTGACAGCATATTTTTATTAAATTTTAAAAATGTTAAATAGTTTGATTATATAATAAGATCCGATTTCGTAAGTCCACACCATTACTGGATTTCATTTAGGCCCATTAGGGTTTGGTGTATATAAAACAGAAAAACCTAGTACGGATTTGTTTAGGTTGAGAGGATGCGGTGGTGGGGGGAGGAAGCGGCGAAGGCTGCTAAAATAGCGGTGTGGTGGGACATGGTTGAGTGTCCGATACCCGAGGGATTTGATGCTCGTCGGGTCCGTCCGAGTTTAGAAGCGGCATTCAAGAAACTTGGCTACTCTGGTCCTGTCTCCATTACTGCCTATGGCGACCAAACACACACCTCTGTTGACCTCCTGCGATGTCTCTCTTCCACTGGAGTCGCTGTGTTGTACATACCAGATCCGGTTAGTCCAATTTTTATCCATCTCTAGAATTGAGAGATTAAAATTTCCACAAACAAAACTATACATAAACTTTTTGCTAATCCTTAGTTTTGGGCTTTTTATAAATTCACAAATATTACGATAATTAGAGCATCTCCAATCCCATTGTTTAATATAAATTTTGTAAAATTTAAAGTTGAAAATATTTTTAAGAGTTCTTAAATTTAACAAGAAGAAGTGTTGTATCACAATATAATTAGATTTGGTATATTTTCTTGTCTTGAATACTTCATCCGAAAATTGTGATGCATGTCTTTAAAAACTTCAGTATGTTTGAAGTAGTGGTATCATACAAAAATCAGAAATTGGCATTCAATTATGCCATACGTTACCTTCTTTAATATATTTTCATATTAATAAACCTCTCAACCTCCACTTCTCATCCATCACACAATCCTCAAAACAAAAGAAACAAACCCAAAAACAGAGCAATCTCAGAAAGATGAAGCTGCTCTCTTCACCATGCAACTAACCAGCGCCTCCGTTCTTCAGATGGCTTTAAAAGCAGTATTTTCTTACATCAATGACTCTGCAGAGTTTAGAGAAATTTACACTAGTTCTTAAACCCTTTGGCTTGCCACATAAGATAGAATAAGTGTTGTGTTTTGACCACATCTTCTGTTAGTATCACCAAGCCAAAATAAGGATCTCAAGCACCGGTTACTACATTTATCATGTAAACAACACTAAAACTTGCTTCTTCTTTTTACAACCTAATCCATCCTGCAGAAAGATAACTATATGTATAATCCAATTCCAAACCAATCCTCCTAAATCTAATCCTACACGACACAAGAACACCCTTCACCACTAAAAACCAAGACAGAGCTCTATTCTTACATGCTAAGTTCATGTAACACCACTAAATCTTATATGCATAGAACTTGGTAAATCTTATATGCTAAGTTCATGTAACATCACTAAATCAATAAGCTCACTCTCTCACAATGCTAACTTCTTCCTCCACGCTGCTGCAACAACATTCAATTTCTCTTTCTATTTGATTCCTCTTTTCTTGCCACTATTGGTGTTCAGCCAAGCTAATCTCAAGCTTACCTCTAACCTTGATGCTGCTCTGCTTCTTTTTCCCCGGATTTACTCAGCTAACAATCAATGCTATAACAAACAATCAAGAAACATTTACCTTCATTGATGATAGAAGCCTTCTCCTTTTCCAGTTGATCCTTAACGGCTTGATTCATACATGCAGCAAGAAATTGAAGCTTCCTTGATCGATTTCTCGCCGAATCGGATTAGCAAATCTCCGATTAGGTTTATCTTCGGTCGCCGATGTAAGTCTCTTATACCACGATAACACACGACGGCATTGATTACCGGAAAATCACAAATCGTCGGTTGCGTCGTGAGAGAGAGAGAGTCGTGCATTTAGCGGAAGAAATAAAAATAAAAGTCAATTTCTTTTTTTTTTTGTTTTATTAAAATTAAACGTCCAATCATATGTCGACATGTGTCCGGCTCTTTCACAATCTCAAAACACAAATTTATTGACTAGTGAACCACTTTCTTACCCTTGCTAATTCTTCTTGGACATCACGGCTAATTTCTCCATCAACTGCTACTGGTGCATGAATGGAAACACATATATCGTTGATGTTTGTGATCCTTGGAACTTGGACGTGGTGAACCAGCTCAAGGACAAATTGAACTGATCCACAGTGCAGCAATGAAATGCACATGGGAATTTTCACATTCTCATCCTGGAGACAACACAAAATTTGTTAGGAAATTTTCAGTGAAAAGGAGAAGAGGATTAGAGAGAAATTACGGCGCAAGAGAACATCATACCTTTGCGTTAGCTATTACATTCTGCCTAGCCTCAAAAGACTTCTTATGAAGGTTTTTCTTGTGAGTTCTACTTCTAGCTTTCTTTGTAGCAGCTTGTTTAGATTCCTTGAGACTCTTAATGATTGGGACTTCTGGTTGACCAAAAACCTTCGACCATTTCAGTTGAAGTAGTACACGGGAATCATTTAGGTTGCCTGTGGAAATCATCATAACTCGATGGCCAGCACCTATCAACTTGGTTATGTGATTACAGTAGCCACAGTCACCTGAAATGAACACATGGTTTTCAAGTTGAGTAGGAGTCTCATCCGCATACATCTCTTCTAACATCTCTTTTATCTTCACATCTGCAGCTTGGTTACCCTTTGTGACTATCTTTTTAGATCCTGAAATCAAACAGTTCACATTCGAATGATTACAATCATAAGTGTAATCATTCCAAATTTCTTCCCAATCAAATAGGTAGTGAACAACTTACTAGTACACTTATTGGCAAAGATGATTGGAATGTTGCTCAGAAATTTTGGGAGAGGTGAGTCATGATAGCCAACGACCAGCTTAAGCTCTACTTGTCCAAATTCATATTCCTCAAGCTTTTTCACGATCCAATCAAGTGCTAGCTCGTGATCCATACCGGCTGGGATTTCTGCGTTCTCGTAATCCCACCAAACCTTGGTCTTCTGATGAATCGCATCTTCATCTTTCGGACAAACACTGTTGTAGTGGTTTCCATTATGGTATGACCTAAACGGGTAAATTTGTTACATGGTGAACAAATCTGTTAAGTAGTTCAATTGAGTAAGATATAAGAACTTACAAGTTGATCATGCGTCCGTTAGGCAGCTTGGGCATGATTTCGTTACTTCGAGAGTAATCCCGGTATACACGTATTCCAGTGTGTGTGATATTAGCAGCTGGATATGATCTCCCCAAGTTCCATCTTGGCTCATGCGTACACAGTAAGCCTCATAACTCTCATGATCAAGATAGTCAACAGACTTCTCAAATAGTTCATGATTTGCCTGTATAAAGCCATAGCCATTTAGAAGATTACAAATCAAATTTTAAAAACTTGTAAGAAAATAGGCCTTACCTGCATATATTCTACGATCTTTCTACGGATGTCGCCGTGAAACTTTTGATTGCCGTAGAATTGATGGCAAAGTGCCCTGAATAGACAGTTGCCATCTCTACCCATCGGGATGATTTTGAACCCCAATTTGTCAAGGCGTCAAAATGGATC